AGATCTCTCAGATCTAGCCCTCCAGGATTAATCTCTCTTTTTCCTGACACAATAGTTAAATTAAAGTATTTTGGGGGTTCAGTTACAACTGATTAATAGGCTGTGCTAGTGGCTCTAATTGGATTGTTGTATTATAGTTTTTAATGTTGTATATAGTTAATTAATTATGGTTATTGTACATTTGGTTATTGCTGCTTATCTGTTCTAATACAAGTTTTTAAATTGTCTTCAGTGTGCTTGTAGTTTTTCGTGATAGTCTTTAAAGAAACAAGTGTGGCCACAGTTGAGGTTGCATTTTGTATGGTGTTAGGCCCCCAATAGACTCTTGGGCGACAGTAATTAATTATGGCTTCTTACTGGTTGGACAGGCTACTGCTCCCCATAGGCCTTGAAAGATTCTTAAACCTCATGACATATTACCAAATCCTAGAGATATTAATAATACTAAGTATAAAAATTATCAAAACATTATCAACAGATTATTAAATCAACAGTGGAAACAAACTAGTCTCAATCTTGGATTGGAGCTAAATTAATACTAACATTAATAGTATTAACGAAACATTGATTTATATTTAACTTTAATATAATTTTAAGAGGGAATCTGTCCATCTGGTTATTAGTATTTTAATACAATCAACCAGAGTAATAGTTTAAAACTAGGTAAGCTGTTTGTAGTTAACTATAAATTATACTTAACTAAAGTAGCTATAAAGCTTCCTCCTTAATATTCATTTTAAGCAGATATTTACCTATCAAAAGAGACACTGTAATATGAATTTTAACAAAACACTCTACAACAAGTAATTTAACAAGTTTTCTTTACCAGAAATTACAAACGGCATTTCCAAAGGCTCACAACCCTGCTCTGCCTTCTTCCTGACTATTGAACAGAGAACCACTTCACTGAGCACTATATGAGATTTGATTGAGATCTATTTAAATTGGAGAACTTTTCCTCCTGGCCATACTTTCACTTTAACACCCTAAAAGTAAATGAAACAAAATCTCTCTCTGAAGACAGACAGAAGAGAGACAGACAGAAAAAAAGGCAGGCAGACAGAAAGTATAATAATTCACACAGGATCTGCAAACACTTTGGCTCTCACTATCTTCTGGAGGTGGAATAAGGAGCCAAATGGCAAAGAAAAGTAAATTTTCCTTGGAGCCAGGGATGTCTACAATATAATGTACAATATAATAATCAACATCTACAATATCCTGTTTGTGGAAATTATGACCACCTTCAAGATAATCAGTTAGGTTATTTTTACACTGCAGTCACAGGAGGAAACTAACCACTTGACACCTTATCCAACTTTTCATGAACATTTTGCAGCCCTCACTGAGTTCCATGTTACCAGCGCTACATTGCTAGCAATACATACACTAGCCACTTTAAAGCTAGTTCAAGTATCGCTACTCTGGACTGCAGTGTAGACATGTCCTTAAAGAGTCTGGAAAATCAGACTTCCTTCAGATGACATGTTGACCCCTAGTATGAAACATCTTGGCTTGATTCTTATAGTTTAAGAATTATGCACACTCTGCCTTTCAGTACCTCCCTTCTAAGTGTTTGGATAAATCATGCGGGAGGCCCACATTGATGCTATGCAGCTGAGTCCAATCAAGTTTGAATTAGGTCATCTTGAGGGAAGTCCTCTTTAAGCAGCAGTTTAAAAATTCAGTATTTCCCATCTCACAAACTTAGTTTGTCCTCCCCATAAATGTAAACAAACACACCTATAGAGGCCACTTATATAGGTCACACAATTTTAAAAGACATTATGGGCCAGACATTTAAAGGTCTTGAGGCACCGAAGGTGGAGACAGTTGCCTAGTGGCATTTAGGAACATACCAAAGAAGTGTCCTTTGACTCTTAAAAATCTTACTCTGTACTACCTGTATAGGAAATTCAATATAAAACTCTTATAAACTAATAGGAAAAATTCCTCCTTTTAAGGTCATTCAAATATGCATTCATGCAGGGAAAAAAATTCATACATAACAATTTGGTTTTAAGATTAGTTTTATCATCTCTATTCTTTTTCTCTGTCATTTTAAAAACAATGAATCGTTCTTATTTTTCTTGAAAATCGGGCAGTTTTTATAACCTTCCTATTTTGGAACTGAGTTATAGTTCATACGGCTTATCTTCTGACATTTTAATCGTGGTGAAAATTTGCTTTAAAGTTCACCGTGATGAAATCCATTGGAAATACAGAACATTACATTGTAAATATGGTTTATACTGTCATACAAACTATTCTTATCACCGAAGGAAAGGGGAAATAAGGTAGAAAGTGAGGAAATATCCATTTGCTGTGATAGGAGGCTGCATAGATCGTATTCCCCTATTGCTTTCAAATCAAGTTTTCTACGGACTATAAATAAAGCTTGTCAAATTAAATTACAGAAGCAACACTCTCAACTCATTTGCTAATCCAGTTTGAGGGGACTACATGATTAGATCATAGAAACAGCTCCTGATAAATCCAGTATTTTCAGTGCTAACAAATAACAGCCAGGGTTTCTTAATTAAAGGAAAAATAGCTGTCCAACAAAGAAACACACTGAGTTGAAACTATGAATATTCTTACATATATATAGCCAAAGATTGCCAGGAAATCCATTCAGTTCAGTTGGATAATATTTCTCACACATGACAATTTACAGAACTATTCAGCATTATTTGCCAAGAAAACAGAAATTAGAGGAACACTAAAACATGTCTGCAAGGCAGAAAAAGGGATGAACAGATGATTAAATGAATAACTAATTTTCAGGGGCCAGATTGCTGAAACTGAGTAATATTTTTCCTCATAGAAGTGTCATATAATTTCATAAGTGCGTTTATCAAAACATGGCCTTTAGTAATGACCTTTATTAAATTACATTTGGTAAGATGAACTCTTTCATTGTTTTGAGCTACTCGCAGAAGCTCAGTAATAACTGCTATGCAGTACTCTGTAACCGGCATTGATTTTTATCATAATTATTACATGCATCTATAAAGCATCCAACAACAGCCTTTTGGCAGAACACCTAATCATATCATTAACTGAAGATCACTCTTTTCTTATGAAAACATGGGGTCTATAATAATGGGTTCTGGTGCCTACCTGCCTACCCCAAGGGACCCATACCTTATGTTATGCAATCATTTGATTAAATACACAGATAGTCTTTGAAGCAGGAACCAGAACTCTAAACTCCCCCTTTCACATGGATTCCCTAATTGCTAAGGTACAGAGCCATGTTCTCGACTGTTCCCTTTCCCTGGGGTCCCTAACTGCTAAATTGCAGAAGCATGCTCTATCCCTTTCTCTGGCCCAGTGAATCTTCATTCTTTGTTGCATAGAGGACACCTTTCACAGGACTGATTGTGAGTACCCCATTCAAAAGTCTATAACATTCTCCTGGGAAGCAAGAAATAGGAGTTATAACATCCTGAGGACGGAGTTAAATCAAGATCTACCAAATGGTGGATAAATACACTGATTTACCAGGTTTTTATATAAAGGTGGGCGCCAATGCTAACACTGCCGCCTGCTTTATTTTAAAAGAAAGTGATCAAAAGCTTGCGAGGTGCCTAATCCTGCATATATCCATTTGGTGTGCTCAGAGCACACCACCAGATCAGGTTACTCGGGCCTGTTTCTGGATCCTTCCATCTAGCTGGGTTTACCTGCTAAGCTGCTCAGGTTGCAGCAGTTCTGGGAATGCACGAAAGGAGAACGGGACAGGCACATGGACCTTTGAAGTCAAACAGATGCACCATGTGACCCAAGTTCTTAGAGGGTAATGGGGGAACCAAGATTGTGATTTTGCCCAAGTAAATGGGAAGGTAGACAAAAGATTCTTTTGTGAGTTTGGTGGCAGAGCAAGAGAAGGGAATAGGAGGGAATGAGTGAAGTTTAAGAAGATTATAGGCAGTCCTCGCACTTACAGCGGGTTACGTTCCTGGAAAAGGCACTGTAAGTCAAACTGATGCAAGTCAAATCTGATTTTCCCATAGAAACAATGTTATAATAGGGGGTTATGTTCCTGACCAAGGGCCTGGTGCCCAACTTTTTACAGAAATGACCATAAGCACCATATTTAAATCAACTATTTAATTTTATTTAATCAGAAGGTGAAGGAACACCTTCACCAGGGTGAATGGAATACTGAATATACTGAAATACTGAGGGACTGAATACTGTATATAACTAAGCACTAAGCACATCAGGAAGCAGACTGAACATAACTAAGCACTAATCACCAGCACTAAGCACGTCAGAATACATCAAAGAATACAAGAAACTTAGAAGAATACCAGAAACTTATGGAAGCAGGAGCATGCTGGAGCACATAAGGAAGCAGACTGACATACGACGTTGGATCCTCGCACTTACAGCATGCTGTAAGTGCGAGGATCCAGAGCCATAAGTAATAATGTGGGCGTAAATGGTGGTGCACCACAAGTGCGGATTGCCACAAGTCGGAATGACCTAAGTCGAGGACTGCCTGAATATTGCTAATTCCTCCCCTGACCACGGACAGTTTATCCACTTACTAAGTTTTATTTTACTGTTTTTCTTTTCAGAGAATGTGATTTTGCCAATCAGAAAATAGTTTAATATCAGCTCTTTATGTACCGTATTTCACCGTGTGTCGGTTGACCCCCGGTTTTCTGATTGGAAAGGTAAGGATTTTCATAGGCATGGTATATAACTTGGGGCCAGGCTCAGCTGTTGCAGCCCCATCCCCTGCGAGTAGTGCTGCCAGCACCGCTCACAAAGGATGAGTCCGCACCAGCTGAGCCCGGCCGAGCCCATCCCCATCCCCTGTGAGTGGCGCTGAGCTCGGTGCCATTCACAGGGGATGGGGACAGGGACAGGCTTGGTGCTGGGCTGGCAGCACTGCTTGCAGGGGATAGGGCTACTGCAGTCAAGTACTGAGTCCAGCCCTGTCCCCGTCCCCATCCCCATCCCCATCCCCTTTCCTGTGATGCTCATCGATGTTCACAGGGGATGGGGCCAGGCTCAGTGCTTGGATGGCGTGGCCCCATCTGCTGCAAGCAGTGTCAGAATGGTGTATAAGTCGAGTTTGATTTTTCATACACAAAAATTGGCCTTCAAAACCTGACTTACACACCGTGAAATATGGTAAAAATGAAGGTATAAAAATATCAGATATCTGCATGGTTTTTTTTATTTAGTGTTTAATTAATGTAGCTATTTTCCACTGTGCATTGTGTAATGTAGATGTAGGACTGTTTATTTTTATTTTTTTTAAACAAGCTTTTTAGCTATAAAAAAATCTTTAAGACATTTGATTTGCCAAATGCCAACCAAGATAAGGATTAATGTCTGTACAAAAGCCCACCACAGAATATTGCTGTTGGTTTGTTCACTTATCAGTCGAAAGTATTCTTCACGTTGCTGTTGAGAACAGAGAAAAGGCATATTATTTTTTAAAATAATATAAGTACTTGATACTTATACCTATGTATTTTCTCCCCATATGCTAGAGAAAATAAGCAAGTCTTTTATGTTTAATTCCTTTACCTTCTTTTTTTTTAACCAGTGAAATTGGTAGTTACCCAGCTTAGTTGGAGTAGAGTTGGAGTGATGTAGCCATGATAACATTTTGGTAAATTTTTTATTGGACCAACTGAATAGATGGAAGAGATGTTAGACAAGCTTTGGGGCACAACATTGCTCTTCTTCAGCTTACAGTGCAGTGTTTACTTATTGCATGGTAAGAACAGGGGCACAAAAAGTTATAACAGCTGGCAGTACTGTATGTTAGGTCCCTATCCCTTTTGATCCATGATAATGTGTTTGTTCAACTATACCCTTAAGTACCTAAGCCTCTACCCCTTTTCTTTCCTGGAATTTCACACCCAGAAGCTTTGTATAACCTGGACCTTTTGCAGGTACCAGATTGGAGTATCTTACATACACCTTGCACTCTCATTATTGCAGAGCCCATAATCTGCATGAATGTCATCAGGATCAAGTTCTAAATATTTTATTGGGTTTCCTTACTTACTTTCTGCTATATCTTAAAGCATTTTTCTAGGAGGACAAATCAGAACAAACTATAAAAGTCCAGTCCTATTCAATTTAACAAGTTATACGTGTTGTAGGCACAAAGCCTTCAATCAATATAGAATTCATTCCTACATTATAATCTCTCTCTGAGGGATGTGTTTTTTTTTAATGCACTTTTGATAGATACATATACACGCTGATTCTACAAACAGTTCATGTATGTTAAGTTACTCAAACCTGTGTTTTCAGCATTGGGATTCATGCAATAGAGTAATGGGGAGGAGTGGGGGTAACCAGGGCAGCAGCCCAGGTTCTGGCATGGGGGAATGGGTGCAAAAATAACAGCTGCCACCACTGAGAGCTGACTGCAGCCGGGCAGCCACCGGATTCTCAAATTAGTTTTATAAACATTGCAACTTGCATTATATATTTATAGCTAGATTTTTAAAGTATTCTTACATCACATAGTTGAGTGGCTCCCACCACAACTCAGACATAAGCAATGGAAAACAGTTGCCTTTCCTCGATACCCGGCTTTTGTGAGCAAAGGGGTGCAGAAGACTCAGAGTGGGCATAAGATTTGAGTAGACCGAGTGGGGAAATTAAGTGCCACCACAAGTTCCAGAGGGGTGCAGTGGCACAATTATGCCTGCCCCCCACTCTTTGTTTCCTGATCCACCCAAACTTTAAACCCAACTTCTTAGGAGGCTGAGTGGCATTTCTACTCAGGCAGTGGTAAGCAGGTCAACTGACTTCATGGCTTATTATAATCTACCTAATTCCTGCCTATCTCTCTTCACAGATGTTAACAATCCTTTCTCCTCTTTAATGATCTGGATGCTCCATTAATCAAGCTATTCTTTCTTCTGCAATTTTGCTGTCTGCAATTTTAGCCATTCCTGGTAATCTCTCTCTCCTGTTTCAAAGCTCTGCAGACTGTTTTTAGTTCTAGTTAAAAACATAAACTCAGGTGTGGTAATTTTAGCTCAGGTGTACATTAACTCCAGTGCAGAAGTGAGTAAAAGTGAAGTGCTGTATATATTGGATGCACTAGATTTTGTATTATGAATCAGAATAAGAGATGTACACTTACTGACTACAGAATTAATAAAACATATTTTTTATTATTTCTGCCTAGTTTGTAGTGCTTTGTTAAACCTAATTTATAATCTAGCAAATTAGTGCACATTATAATAATGTTATATTTAGTTTTGCTTTGATCTTAAACTGAATAATATAGTTCTGGGCCACTGCATATTAGGAAATCTTCTGGTTTCTCATTAACTGCAGAAAAATACATGTGTCAAACCCCATTTTTCAAAATCCTAGATCCGCCCATAGCCACCAGAGAGAAGGAGATGAGGAGGGGAGAAATGACTGTGAGGCAAACCATCCCTTCCTTGATCTCTGCTTAGGATGATACATCACCATCCCATGCTCTGGGATGTTCAATCTTATTTCATATGTTTAATCCTCTATTCTAAATGTTTAATCTTGTTTGCTTAATTTTTCTGAAAATAATGCAAGGATCTGTTAGGTTCTTTGAGGTAAAAAGTAGAAGCAGATGGAAGGATTTTGCTCTTTCTTTCCAAAACAAATTCACCTCTGCCACCGAGAAATAATCATTAATTCAGAGCTTCCATACTGTATTTCACTTTACAGCTTCAGTGTTTGACCAGCAGTTATTAATACATATCTTAAATTTTAATTCATGCTGTAAATAATAGGACCAATTTGGCTAAGCATTAATAGTGTTTTAATGTAATTTGGTTTTTACATTAAACAATACATTTGTAAAAAATACCAATAGTAGATCATATAACATAAATCCAGATTCTTATCAGCACTTTTCTGTCTTATTTCTGTTAGGGAATATACATACCCTCTGATAGTTTTGTTCTTTGGATATGTGATGAATTTGCTCAATTAGATGTTCAACTCTAAAGTTAGCTTCCTTAACTTTGTCCTTGGCTTGAGCAATGACTTCATCAATAAGATGCTCTCCAACTCTAATGTCCAAATGAATACGCTATGAACACAATTAAAAACACTTATTCCACTGATTTATAATCTTCACATTTTAAAAAGTTCTTAACAAACAAACTGAGGGAAAATAATGTATACTTCCCTCTAAAATCATATTTTTACTTATATATAAGTGTGCTTATTAAAAAGAAAATCAGATCTGGCATTTAAAATTCAAGTAATACATCTTTAAATTAAGTTTTCAAATGTTCTTACACATTCCAGTTAGCAAGTGCTAACTTTAAGGAATGTTAAGTCATTGTTAAAGTTAGCACATGTGGCCAGCAGTTGCATGCTTGGGCTTAACATCCTCTGTAACATGCACAGGTCTCACCTGCAGTGAGAGGGCTGGTGAACAGAAGCATGGCTAGGAACTGACAAGTCATCTGTGTGCCTGCCCTGCTTGCTGGCTCTATAGCATCAGCATCCATCCCTATTGCATGTACAAGTGTACACACACACACACACACACACACACACACACACACACACACACACCCCACGTCCCCAAACTTGCCTTTGGCCCCCAAGCAGCACAACTGGGGCACCGGGGCAGTAACAACAGTGTGGGGAGAGGTACCACCACACAAGCGGCAATGGGAACGTGTGTGCATGTTGCTGCAGCCACTGGCAGCAGAGAGGAGAAGGGCTCTCTGCTATCCCATGTCCTCAGAGATGCACCCCTCTCCCTCCCATAATAGATTATGTTTATAATCTATTTACATTTATATTTAAATGTAATTTATAGATTTAGAATAATATGATAAATTATATGATATAATTTACTTTCCATGGAATTTTCAATTATTATTCAGTATATGCCTCCCCGACAATTAGTGGTGAGGGGTGGGGCTGCCAGGAAATGTCTCAGAAATCAGTTCTTTGTGCCATGACAAAGCCACAAAAATTGCTTTGTCTCACTGCAAATTAAATAGACCCCTACTAATAGATAAGTAATGTTTTGCAACAGCATTTGTGTTAACTAATCCTTCCCCATATGACTATTTTTATCAAATGGGTTGTTCATCCTATTGATCAGGGCCTTGAAGTATTAAGTATTCAAAGTGCTGTACTAGTATTAGTACCAGTTTTAAATTAGCTATGGCATGACTCCTTGAAAACGAAAAGAAAGTCTTTCATCATGTTAATTCTCACTTTATCTTGTTCATACCCTAAGAAACAGCATGCATTGGATAAAGAGTCATCTGCCACCTCCAAGATATACTATTAAAACCAGATTATTTTAGGTATAAGCACTGAGTGAGCACAGTAAAAATAATGCAGGATGTTCTGTGTGAGGTTGTGGGAGGAGACCTTGAATTCAGAAGATTAAAAGGTTTACCTGTGTGGAACTGCTTGCCAGATCTGAGGTTAATACTGAACATAAGAATTCAGTGACATATTTCCATAATCCCTTCACTCTTGCAATTAATTGTGCTCCAGTAGTTCTGCACTGTATGCACAGTTGTCCCACAGTTATTTCAAACCTGGCAGTTTAGATGATACAAATGTTATCATGAAATAAAATATTTAAGCTGTTCGCTTACCAGTTTACTTCCACCAAAGGAAATAAGCCTTGTGGAGTTAGACTGCAAACAAATACTATGCTCTCCAGATACATGGGATGTAAAGGAGAATTTTCCTTGTGGTCCATACAGTTTTGACAGCAATACCTGTAATGTAAGTATTAAGCAAGTTTGGTGTTCATTTTTGTCTTATGGACAGCAATCTAAAGATTTTTCTTTTTATTTAAGCTTCTGAAGACATTGGGTTAACCTGAATTTCAGATGTGATTCAGAGAAGGAAAAGCAGAATAACTTAGATCTAAGCTGAAGGTAGAAAACCCATGTACAGTGCAGTAAGGCTGTAATTTTCAAAAACAAATGGTAAAAGTTTGGTTTCTAAGGCCTTATTTAGGCATATCAATAAATGGCCTCACTTTCAAAAACACACAGCATGCAGTGGCAATGCAGGCAATTGATGTGGATCGCTGCTGGCTGCATCTTACTTAACTTGCTTTTGGAGGGAGGGATTAATTTTGGATGATCATTATTTTTCCAAATACAGCTCCTTACTTTGCTATGTGGCTTCAGTAGTCAATGTGCAATCTTTTATTTTAAAAAGTTTTCTCAACAGGTTTTGAATATTGTATGAAGACAATTTTTTTCCAAATCCAACAGTAATGTAAACAGATTAATCAAAGATTTAAAAATCAGGCTTCTATATCCATAGTTAGGTACATAAATAAAATATTTGATTGCTCTTGTATAACCTGTTGCTGCTATCATTTTTACTGACAACCAATATATACCTAGCCCTTTTGAACGCCAAACTATTCAAACTGCTTAATTAAGGGTTTGGAAGCTTTAATTTTAGACTGGTTTTTAATATTGTCAGTTTCTTTTTGATAGGAGAAGTTTGAAGCACCAAGGGTCAGTACAAAAATCTGCAAAACCTTTCATAAATAACACTTTTACCTCCTCAGTAGGAGTTGTGATGGTCACATACATTCCCAAGCCAGGAGCAGATTCAAGAAACGTTTGTTCATGTATATCCCATCGTTGTACAATGTAACTCCCTGTGTGGTAGACAATAGATACAAACCTGTTAAGTACAAATATTAGTCTACTATGTAGCTTTATGTTTTTTTTATTTCAAACCAAGTTACTATGTATATGCAAAACAAAATTAATTATGACATTTCATACACCCAGTTACAATCTTTCCAGTTCAGTGCATAATGTTGCAGAATTAAAAGGGATACACTTTTTGGTGCCCTCCTTTCCATCATCTAATTCACAGTGTTTCATAGCTGGTATATGTATTAGGAAATCATAGGTAAATATTTTAAGTTTTAAGCAAATTGATAATTATATAGCAACATCTACCCACCAATTACCAAGGTTTCACTTGGAATGTCTTCTATTATACATTTCTCCTCTCTTTCCCCAGAGTGAAAATAAAAAGGCTGTGAAAGAGCAATCCAGAAGCAAAAAAGAAATCCTATCAGTTGGTTCTTCATGATTTTGATATACTCTAATTGTTCTCCTTTTGGAAAGGATTAGTTGCAAGTGATTATAGCCCCTTCCTTGTTTGGTGTCTAATCAGTGTGGGTTGTTTTTTTTGTTTTTTTTGGGTGGGGAGAGAATGTGAGAAAAGACAGCTGGTAGTTACACATATATAAATAACTACAGCGTGTTCCACAGAATGTGATAACAAGAGAGAGATTATTTGTAAAGTCTTTCCTAGCATGAAAGCATCAAACATGCTATTTTGCAGGAATACAAGAATAAAAGATTGGAAAAGCTCTCTTGGGATCTCCTTATTACAGGTGACTACATCATACAATCCTTTCATAAACTTGTCAAGTTCCATCTTAACCCTTAGTTAACTCTTTTTGCCCATACTATTCTTATTGAAAGACTGTTCCAGAGTCTCCTCTGATTAAATAGAAAGCTACTTTCTAGCCTATATTTACTCATGGCCAGTTTATATCTTGTTATTCTTAAGCCAGCTCAGAGGTACTAGGTATATGAAATGCTTTGAGAGTTAAATATACATAAACAATATCAAATATTAAGAACAGTGGGTTTGAAGCTATGCGTGTGCTTCAATGTGCAGTAGCCTATTTTACCGTGCATTAGAGTGTCACAGCAAAAACTGTGCTAATGCACTAATGAGCAGTAAATTAGGCTACCGAGCATTAAGCATCACTTAAAAAGTAAGCGCTTTCACTACTGAGCATTAGAGTAGCAAAAGCACATTAATGAACGTGTAGACACACCCAGTGATTGTCAACTGGGGCACCACAGCACCCTTGATGCTGTAAAATCTTTTGAAGGGTTGGTTCTTTGCAGTATTAGCACTGTTAGATGTGCAAGCACCTACACACGATTCACAAGATAAACCCAGAGATTTCAAATAGGTATCCATATTATCAACAACATTCTGACCTGTTGTGGTTCTTCTGAGTTCTTTGCACTAGTAGAATTGCTGCATTATTTTTCCATGGTAAAAAAATGAATGGAAACTAAGAGGCGGCATTTTCTCCAGGGTGCCTTGAGTCTAACAAGTGGTACCTTGAGTCTAGAACTGTTGAGAAAAACACTAATTTAAAAGGACTAAAGGGAATACAAAGGGGAAACTGCAATACAATACAGTACAAAGGGGAAACAAAAAAATAAGATAACCTGAAATACTAAAATATTTAAACATTAATAGAAAGATATATAGAAGACATTTTCCCTAATAATAATATTTGAACTGTTTCTGATAATGTATATTTTTATCCTCTAAAGAAGTAACTATCATACAACCCAAGGAACTATATATTTTCATATAGTTATATTTTTGTCCATGCTGTCATGATTATATTCTGGTTGCCTCATAAATATACCGTCAGTTAATATAAATGCGGTGGGCTTGCCTATCTTTGCCTAGTTCCTTGGGCTTAGAGATTGCCAAAGCAATTGGTGGGGCAAACAACCAATCAGAGACCAGCAGGGGAGGAGCCTTGGGAAGAGTCTGCCACACCACTACACAGGGGCAAGGTGAGGAGTGGACCTAACTGAAGACTGTGCTTCACCTCCCCCTGATTGCCCAGTCTTCAATCTTGGGGTGGAGCCCCAAAAGGGTATATAAGGAGCTGAGTGCACAGCATGCAGAGGAAATGATGAGGGATGGAGAAGAAAGAAAAAGCCGGGGCTGAGGAAGAGCTGGGGAAGAGCTACCCAGGAGGTGCTTCCAGTTACCCTGAAGAGCCCAAAGACTCCACTGTTGGACAGGAGTGGCAGACAGCTGTGTCCCCAACCCCTCACCATGAGACAGCATGACGAGCTGGTAGGCATCACTGCACAGAGGGTCCGCTAGGGACTGGGACCTTGGGAGCCACTCGAGGCGGTTCGGGTCTCCAACCCCAGCACGAGGCCAGCACTGGTGCAGATGCTGCTGCATGGTGAGCCATTGTCAGGCTGAGGGCAGTTCAGGCCACATTCCCCACTGCCGGGTGCAAGGGCCTGTGGGCTGCACAGGCTCCACAGCACAGCAGGCCTGTACTGGAGCCCCAGCCCTGGGCATACACAAGGTAGCCCAGACCCGCAACCTGCTGAGAAGGCCAAGTTATCCGGACGTGTGAACAAGCCCCACACCCAACGCAGGGACTGAGATAGAGCACCTACTGTAGGAGCCACTTGTTTAGCTGTGGACAAAACACCAGGAACCCTTGCTGGACCCTACTTGCCGGGAAGCATGAGTTCTTGGCCAAGGGCTTTCCCACCAGGGAGGGACACAGGGACACAGTGGATAGCCCCATCAGAGGGGTTTTATGCTAGAGAGAGAGAGAGAGAGAGA